TATTTAATTACTCATCTATTTACTCCCTGCCCTCCCCGAGAACATAAACTCTGTGAGCTTGTCTTATTCCCAGCTCTCCCAGTGCCTGGCACTGTGCCTGGCACAAAGTAGGTCTCAAAACATATTTTTGAATGAATGACTACATTTGTTAATCACAGCAGAATTCCCTTACCCTAAGAATGGGATGAAAGTGAAGAAATAAAAAACCTGAGACATGAGACTTCAAAGGGAAAGTGTAGGGACTATTCCAGTCTTATGGAAGTTCTCCTGAGAATACTTTTCTGACCATCTGTCGTAGTCTCTTTTGCATTACTATAATAGAATACCACAGACCGGGCAATTTATAAAGAACAGGAAGTTTATTTTTTACAGTTGTGGAGGCTGGGAAGTCTAAGGGCATGGTGCAGGCATCTGGTGAGGGTCTCCTTGCTGCATCATTACATGGCAGAGGGCATCACATGGGGAGAGAGCAAGAGTGTGCGTGAGAGCTCAGATCTCCTCCTCTTCTTATAAAGCCACCAGCTCCATCATGGGGGCCCCGCCCTGATGACCTTGTGAGAACCTAATTACCTCCCAAAGGCCCCACCTCCAATCAACATATGAATTTGGGGATTGTTTCCAACACATGAAATTTGGGGGACACATTCAAGCCATAGCAACATCCCTTGAGGAATTCAGTGTTACGATTAAAGGGGGAGGTCACTTAATCTCCCAGAGCCCAAGAGAAATGGGCTTCAGAACCTCTGCCCTCACCTCCTGCCTCTGCCTTCAGCAGTAGTGTTTCCTATGAGGAAATTGGTTCAGTAAACATTCACCAAGAAGCAACCCTGGGTGAGTTTCATGCTGAACTTTGGGGATAGAGATGAATCAAGGAAGAAGGAGGGGGTGACATTCCAGGCAGGGGGACAGCACGAACAAAGGCAGAGAGAGGAGAGATTCTTGTGTGTTTGGGACATTAACCACAGTTTAGTATTGCTCCAGGCAGCAAGGGATTGGAGACGAGGCTGGAAGAGTGAGCGGTGTTCAGATCCACTAATCTTGCAAACCAAGAGAAGCTAACATAATAAGGCCCAGCATTGATTGAGCTTTCCATGTGCTACTATTATCCTCCATTTTATAGATGAGAAAACTGAGGCACAGAGAGGGTGTCAAGAACTGTGAAAGGCCTGCAATTTGACCCTACTAACAAACTAAAAAGTTAGCCTACCAGGGCTTCATGGATGCTGGGAGAAGACTCAAGACTCCTGAGACAAAAGACTATTACAGCACAGCAGGCATGAATTTCAGCTTGGCACTAATTCCCTATATCCCACGGGGCCATGAAGATGAACCTAGATGGATACGACACACGGTAGGTCTGCATCACAGCCCAGAAACCATGAGTTTAGGAAACCCCAATTTTTATGATGGGCTACAAGCAAACCTGCCCAGTTTTTGCCCCAGAGACATCGACTTCATTATCCTGGTCAGCAAACAAACCTGTCCTCTAACTCAGAAACCTTATCTATTTTCCAAGGCTGTCTGCCATACAAACATCCTTGAAAGGATAGCCCTGAACAAAAGCTGTCACTGCCTCAGCTCACAAGATATGCAGACCCATTAATTGTCTCCAATATTGCCCAAGGCCACACAACTGGTAACAGGTAGAGAGAGGGTTTGAATCAGGTCTTCTGGCTCCAGAACCCATGCCCTTGATCATGAGACAATGCTGCCTCTTAAGGAGTTTGGACTTTATTCCATAACGGATAGGGAGCCACCTTTACAGCTTACAAGCTGTAGAGTGACACGTTCACATCACAGGTTTAAAAGTTATTCTAGGGGATAAGCACACTAGCTTAAACAAGATTCAACTTCAGCCTCTAGACCCATTTATCCAACTGTCCCCAAACTCTCACGGGGCAGCTCATGTAAAGGTGGCACCATTTAGTGCCCAAATTACAGTGGTTCTGCTGGTCTGGGCAGTGCCCCCTCTCTCGGTCTCTCCTGTCCTCCCTGGCCTTCCTATTGACAGTTCCTCCCCAGGTTTGTTATCTGTGTGTTTCTGTCTTCCAAAACACATGTAGATGCACCTGGAGTCCTGGTGCCTCATGCACCTCCAAGACTTCAGGGGGCTACTGCCTGCCATCATCTTCAGAGAGCCTGGCCCATCTCTCTGTCCCTGAGACGCTTCCTCCAAGCTGTGTTGCCTAGGCTGGATTTTCAGGACCCTGCTTCAGTGAGGTTCTGACTCACATCCGTGCACACACAGCTCTGGGGGTTCACTGTCTACAGAGCCTGCATTTGCTGTGCTCCTATCTTACGACTCAGTTCTGGACAAAAACCCGTATCTCCCAGAGTCGGGATGAGGAGGGTGGACATCATCCCAATGGGTGTGGAGGGGAGGGAGGTGGAGCACATGCCCAGGGACCCCTGGACAGGATCCCAGTGGTCAGACAGGGTCCCCCAGAGCTGCTGCCTCCTCAGAAATGTTCTGGTCACCCCCAGCACTATGCAAAGCCCACCCGTGGTGGTCCAGAGACCCTGGTTTGAGCCTTCCCTTCAAGTCAAGAACGCGAGCTTGGAAGGGAGACAGACCTGGGAACATCCACCGCCTCCCGAGTGTCCCTCCAGAGCTGGGAATCCACATTGGCCAGGAATGGCTTCGTGGAAATTTGGAGCTGGAACTGGATTGGGAAGGGCGGTAGGATTTTTTGTTTGTTTTTTGTTTTAGGTTTTTAGTTGCAAAATTAATTTTCAACAATATACAGGCACTTTTGACAGGAGAAGTAAAACGCTCCTCCACCAGCCCCACACCACAGCCACTCCCACTCGGCTTGCTCCTCCCTGCCGGCTCGCACGCCCACCTGGGTTCTGCTACTGCCCACCCTAGAAGGCTGCAATGGGCGGCGTCTTCTCTGGGACCTCTGATGTTCTGTGCCCCCGAGGATTCAGAGGAGGAAATTTCTGTGACCTCTGAGACCACAAGATTGTTTTGTTGGGGGTGGAGGAGAGTGAACTCTGCTCCTTCAGGAGGTTGGCGGTGAGGGGTGACAGGCACAGGAAAAACAGAGGTGAGGTCAATTCCCCCCCACACCCCGACACTGGCCTCTCCTCTTCCTCGGACCATCCCACCCCAGCTCCATCCATCCCATCGTCTGGGTCCAGGCAGACGCGTCTGAGCTCAAAAGCTGCTCCAGTGCATCCACCTGTGCGACCCTGGGCAGCGACCTGACCTCAGTGGGCCTCAGTTTCCTCATTTGTATTGTGAGCGTGTCCACGGTGAGGCTTAATGGACACCGAGCTTGTAGCAGGCTCAGCACAGAGCCCGACGCGGAGCAAAGCGCCCTCGGAGGTAGCTGTCCACATCACCGGCACTAAGGGCGCCAGGGCACAGGAGGGGTGGGGCGAGGGTCGCCCAGAGGCCCCGCGGCGCGCCCACCGGGTCGCCGCCCTCTGCGGGGGGCGGCGGCGAGATAAAGCCCCGGGCGCCGCCCCCGCCCCTCGCTG